GCAACACCTCAAGAGCAAAGAAAAAAATCGCTTTTCAAAAAATTGAAATTCAGAGAGTCCAAAGGCAAGTGGGGAAGGGGCAGAGGATGAGTGAAGAGTCCTGGCCATAAGGGCCTGCAGTCGCAGGCAGACTGGTGTCTGGAACTATCACTGGCTTGAACCAGCATGCAGGTGGGATGTGTGTGGGGGGGTGCAAGTTCGTCTTAAAGTCCCAAGAAACCAACCTGAAGTCCAGAGACGAGTAGGAGTGGGGATGAGCAACAGTCCCGGCCATAATGGCCTGCATCCACAGGCAGCCTGGTGTCTGGAACTGCTTGCTGGCTTGACCACATAGTGCTATCTATGGTTATTTTCCAATGCTTATTTTTTATAGGCTGTAGGTATTTTAAAAATTAGTAACTTAACATTATTTTATTAAAATATGTACATAAAACATTATAAAGGTACAAAATAACATTATTTCAATTATTTAGGTAACTGAAAATTCAAATTTTCAAAATACCTGATATTTCAAATATTTTATTCCTAAATCTTGGAACTTATGCTTCTTTGTAACTTTGGAAATTCTGGGGGCAATGGTAATAAACTAAAGATCAAAGATTTTTATTTACTCATTTATTTTAATGGTCAGAGAGCATGCACTCTTAAAAACAGAGAGAGAAAGGACTCCTCAATAAAGTGTGATAATGTTGCAGTCTCTTCTCCATTTCTCCATCCTTTCAGGATTTAGAGCATGCACACACATATGTCCAGAGTGGTCTTCAAGCCACTGGGGTCAGAATTCAAACTGTGGTTGGCCATGTGGGATCTAGTTCCCTTAACCACTAGGTTACGGGGCCAGCCCCATACTGATTTTAGGCATCAGCATTGATATAAAGCTTAACTGACATCATCAGAATTCAATGTCTGTCCATTTTTTTTGGGGGGGGAGGGATTTTCGCTATAGGGCGCATGCGCTTGCCAGACAGACAGAGAGAGACATAGAGACAGAAAGCGAGAAATCACCCCCCAGGGGGGATGGTCACGCTGCAAATCCCTTCTCCTCCATTCTCCTCTCGGGATCTTGGGCACGCACGCACACGTGCCCGGCGTGAGTTTTAAGCCACTGGGTCCTGGATGCGAACCGCGGTCGACTACGTGGGAGTCCAGCGACATAGCCATTACGCTAAATGCTGGTTCCCTGTCTGTCCATTTATTGATTGTCCTTGATTTTTTTTTTCTTTTGGGCTGGCCTTATTCTCAGGCTTTCTATGTGGCAGGATGGCTGCCAGCAAGTTCAGGCAATATCCTCTCAGCCTCAAGTGCCATTCTCACAAGAGTCTATGCAAAAGTCTCATTGTGCCTTAACAGCTCCAATTGAGTCACATGCCCATATCTTAGCCAATTACTGAGACTAGAGAAATGTAAGGTTCCTTTTGCAGGCATGAGTCACATACTTGTCCTTGGTACAGGGGTATAGTAGAAAAGAGTATAATAACTGCTCATAGACTGAGACAAAAGAAGAGAGTAATTTTGTGTTCTCATACTCAGAAAATAATAGAGATACTGTTTCCAAAAGGAAGAATCAATGCTGGGTATCAAAATAAAAACAGATGTCCACTGCATCCTTCCTTCACTGTCTCACTCCTATCCTCTGGTTCAGAGCCACTCCATTGACACTTCAGGCTCTCAAACTTAGATTGAAGTACGAATGGGGGACCAGCAGTTAGCATAATGGCTATGTCACTGGACTCCCATGTAGTCGACCGTGGTTCGAGTCCCAGACCCAGGAAGCAGAACATGTCTCAGAGCGCCATGGCATCTGATTCGCTACACTGCAGCAAGGCGAGCCCCACGCTCCACATTCTCTGAATCTTCAGTTTGCACTGCAGCTGTCACGTAAGACTAGTGACATCTGGCCCTGCCTGGGGCTCAGGCTCTAGCCTCCTGGACTCCAGAGCTGGACCCTGCAGGCCCAGAGGTTCAGATCTCCAGTGGGGTGGACCTGAAGTGCATGGAGTGCATGCACCCCGACACTGCTGGGCTGGAGGGGCAGACCACGGCCTGACTAGACCCTCCACAGGGTGCTTCCTGCGTGCGTGTGCATGCTCTCAACTATGAATAATAATTTTTTTAAACCCTAAATCTTGTAGGGGACCAGCAGATGGCATAATGGCTATGTCCCTGGACTCCCACGTAGTCGATCATGGTTTGAGTCCCGGACCCAGTGGCTTAAACTTATACCGGGCGCATGTGCGTCCGTGCCCACAATCCCGAGAGGAGAAGGGAGGAGGGATTGCAGCGTGGCCATCCCCTGCTTGGGGGGGGGGGGTTATTTCTCGCTTTCTATCTCTCTGTCTCTCTTTGTCTTTCTGGAGAGTGCAAGCACCCTGTAGTGAAAATCTCTCCAAAAAAAAAGTATGAATGGATATTCTGTGGCAGTCCTACGAGATGGAGAGAGGCAGAATGTATCGCAGGGCAGAGATCATGAAGAGAATGAAAAATTCTCAGGTATACCAACACCAATGTGATTAGACCATTTAATAACCTAGAATCTCTTCTTTTTCTTTTTTTCGGGAGAGGTTTTTGCTATAGGGTGTGTGTGTTTGACAGAAAGACAGAGACAGAGAGACAGAAAGTGAGAAATCACCCCCTGAGGGGATGGCCACACTGCAATCCCCTCTCCTCCTTTCTCCTCTCAGGATTTTGGGCATGCACGCACACATGCCTGGTGTGAGTTTAAGCCACTAGGTCTGGGACTCGAACCGTGGTTGACTACATGGGAGTCCAGCGACATAGTCATTATGCCAACTACTGGTCCCAAGAATCTCAAATAATAGATGCTCTCATCTCAAAGTCCTTTATTTCCATTCCAGCTAAGCTATGCATATTCTTAGACCTTATTACCTAGAACAGTTGTGTCTTCTGAAGTAACAGTCTGGCAACCCACCCTTTTTCCCCCCCATTGTGTGCATGTGCTCACTAAAGAGACAGACACACACACACACACAGAGGGAAAGTGAGAAACCATGGGGGGGAGGGATGGCTAAGCTACAATTTACAATTCCTTCTCCTCCATTCTTCTCTCAGGATCTTGGGCACACATACACATGTGCTGATGTTGATTTTGGAGCCACCAGGTCCAGGACTTGAACCTCAGTTGGCCATATGGGAGTCCAGAGCCTTAACCAACATGCCACTCACTGCCCCCTCCCACCACAACCTCTTAACCTTCAGTCCTTTCAACCTATATTCTTTTTGTGCTAATACTTAGATTTTGTTAGGATCTTCAACCTATGGGTTTTCACACATATTTTCTGACCATCAGAAATTTATCTTCCTTTTCTCCCTCTCTGTGGAAGATTTCATGGTCTGTAATTTAACTGACATCTTAAACACCTCTACTCCACTCTCTTTTCGTCATTCCTACCTGGCAAAATCCCAACCAAGCCTCTTCCAGACTTAGCTCTTAGGAAATGTTGCAGCTTTATTTGATAAAATCACATACATGAGGACACTGATACTACCATGAATAAACTCTTAATCATATCTAATGATCAGCTCCTTGACCACGTGATAATCATTTACTCATTGACCTCATTCCTTCTACATATGTTTAAAAACCTGCCCCGTCTCGGGAACCAGCAGTTAGCGTAATGGCTATGTCGCTGGACTCCCACATAGTCGACCGCGGTTCATGTCCCGGACCCGGTGGCTTAAAACTCACGCCGGGCGCGTGTGCGTGCGTGCCCAAGATCCCGAGAGGAGAATGGAGGAGAAGGGATTGCGGTGTGACCATCCCCCCTGGGGGGTGATTTCTCGCTTTCTGTCTCTATGTCTCTCTCTGTCTGTCTGGTGAGCGCACGCGCCCTACAATGAAAATCTCTCAAAAAAAAAAAAAAAAAAAAAAAA